TCGGGAACTAAGGTGCCACGTGCCGTAGGCCAATTAAGCCCACACTCCACAACTAGAGAGTCCACGTGCCAGAAGATTGTGAGTGCTGTAACTAAGACCTGATGTGGCCAAATAAATAAAAGAAAATTTTTAAAAATTAATACATGCAGATAGTTTAAAAATAACAAACACATATTGGGGTAAATATGCAATTAAATTTTTTTTTTCTAACTGTTACAAGACTGTGGTCAAAACTTGGATAGCCTTTGTCTAGATAAACACTCAAGAAACGCTATGCCTTCATTGGGTCTATACTTTGGTTTACTATTATTGTTGCAGTCATTACTCATCACCTTCACAAAAGCAATATATATTGATTATAGAAATTAAGACACTACAGAGGAATTGAAAAGAAAGGGAAAAATCACCTGTAACTATTTCTAAAATAGCTTGGTGTCTATTGTCTGTCACTGTCCTAACCACATAAATAATATTTCACAGGTACATGAATATCTATGTATATACAAACTATGAGCTTTCCAGGTGGCACTAGTGGTAAAGAATCTACCTGTCAAAGCAGGAGACACAGGAGACGAAAGTTTGTTTCCTGGGTCAGGAAGATCCCCTGGAGGAAGAAATGGCAACCCATTCCAGCATATTCACCTGGAAAATTCCATGGATTGAGGAGCCTGGTGGGCTACAATCCATGGGGGTTGCAAAGAGTCAGACACGACTGAGTGAGCACATCCACATGCAAACAGTAATTTTTCAAAATTCGCATCATGCTATAGTGACTGCTCTATATCTTTTCAGTTAATAATAAATTATGAATGTTATTCTCGAACAAAATTTTAATTGTCTATACACTAAAATTTGCATATAAATTGTGTACTATATTTGAACCAGTTCCCTATAGCTGAATATTGAAGTTTTTAAAAATGTCTTGCTATTTTAATGCCTGAGGATCAGACATGGAGGCCTTTGGATGCCAAGCAGAATGAACTAGATTGTATCCTGTGGATCAGTCATTCTCAGGGGAACAGTACTACACCTCCAGGGACTATTCTGGGAGTTCAGGCAGATGCTTTTGGTTTTCTTGATGTTTGGGGGTTGCTACTGGTGTTTAGTAGCTTGGGCACCCAGATCCCAGCTGCCTGCTATGTGCAGAGCAGTCCTGAGGCAGAAAGAGCTGCCCCACGTCCTGCAGGACTTTCAAATGTCCTGCTGGCAATGCAGGAGGAGCCCGATTACAGTTATCAGGACCCTGTTTCACAAGCAAATGCAAACTATTCTATGCCCGTTTTAAATAAACACCAAGTTTTCTACTGTCATGTAAATCAAGGAGAAATGTTTTCTTCAATGCTTTACCAAGAGTTGTGTGCCTTTTTTTTTTTTTTTTTTTGCCTTTTTTTGAAAATTATGGGGCCTTCCCCAGTGGTCCAGTGGTTGAGACTGTGCTTCCAGTGCAGTGGGCATGGGTTCAATCCCTGATCAGGGAACTAAGATCCCACATGCCGCACAGCACAGCCAAAAAGTAAAAATTAAAAAAAAAAAAAGAAAAGAAAATTATGTCACTAATATCATCACCCCATTCCTATTATTTGCATCAGTAACATCACCAACTTTTAAGAGTCATATTCATGGTGATTCTAAGAGGATGTGTAAGGATCTTATCACTTCCTCATTTCTAATATTGTTGTGCCAAATGTTTATGTAATAAAATACATATCTTTAAAGATTATTATTCCTTCATATGACCAGTAAGGCCTTCTGCTACCTTTTACAAAATTCCACGTGCGGAGGTCTTATTTTGTATTGGTTTCATCTTCAGAGAATAAAGAGAATATTAACAGAATTTATGTATGTATGTATACAGGAAACTAATAAAATATTGTATTTCAAATATAAAAAAAAAACAGAATTTATTATAAACAGCTGTTGGTGGTCAATTGGGTGAAAAGCTATGACTGGAAGAACAAGGAAAGCATTCAGAGGCCTTCAGTGGGAAAATGAGGAGATAAAACAGGGCAGCAGGTATGACTGTGTGGAGAGAAGAAAAAATAAACAGCAGACAGAGACCAGAAAAGATGCAAGAACAATCTGCTCAGGGAACTAATGAAGACCTAGAATGTCGCAATGCCTGAAAAAAACCAAATAGAAGAGCTCTAATGGAGGACAGCTTAAAAAGGAGTCTGGAACTCAGTGGATGCACACAGTGTCAGAGAGAGGCTGTCACAGCAGCAGGAGAGTGACTGTGCTCTCAAAAAACAGTCTCACATGTGCACATGAGCGTACACAGATACACACACACTTACACCCCTAGACACTCAAACTCCAGGTCCATTACCAAATAATCTTTCTCCCCTCCTCCTGCCAGAGGGAAGACTTCTCACGCCACTGATTCTGAAATCTGACAGCTCCGTCTGACACGAGTCTGACGCAGAGGGGCAAAGCCTTATTTGGTTTATTTATTTGTTTGTGATTCTCCAACCAAGATAAACCCCAAAACAAATTTCAAGTGTACTTTAAATACACTCCAGGTTATAAATCACACGCTTGCATTCTCATACTATGGTAAGCATGAAATCACATAGATCATCAATAGATATATATATGCCTCCCTGCCTTGCCAAATTCATGCACATACATGCACGCCAAGAGAAGGCTAAAAGGAAACTAAGACTCAGTACCCATGACGATTCATCTGTAGCATACATGTTTATGAATCAGAAAAAACCAGAGCAATTACAATCAGATGATACTAGACTGGGCAAGGGCCCCAAGGTTCTAGCTGGCAGAAGAGCGTTTCCAAAATGAAAGGACAGAGATTGACGGATGTTAATCACGAGAGCACAAATGCTGGCAAAAACTGCAGGGAGAAGAGACGGCCCTGATTCATTAAGATGAAAACTGTATTATGTGCTGATTTATCTGATTGTAATTTATATACCCATCTTGATTTCAAATTTTCTGAGACTAGATCATGTAAATATTTCTTTAAACAAAGGAAGAGTGAGTCTACAGTATCCCCAAACATAAAAGGGGCTATCTAGTGGTCCTGATCCATGCCCATGCAACGGTCCATAAAAGATGAACAGGACCTTCTCGTGTGCTTTTCTTAACAATCAGAAAGAGAGAAGAATGGCCACCACATTTTTCTCAGCTGTTAGCAATTATCCCCCACATCACCAAACAATGCCTGATGCATTCCATCAAAGCAAACAATGTCCCTGGAAATATCATGATTAAATTCTCACACCATTTAGCTCTTGTTTCTTTTTGAGTCACTTACCATCTGAAATGTATTCTTTAGTACTTTCTCATTTGCATTGTGTGAAGTATGAAAGGCAAGCCAGATCCTGCCTGAAATGGCCCATGGAGGGCTTGTCTAGGCAGAGGCACAGGTAAGTCTGTCCAGCTCTCCCCATCTCTGCTACCTGATCGCAAGTTCAATGAGAGGTAGAGTATTTATATATTGGGTATGTACTGTGATACCTTGCAGGAGACTAAATGAGCCAGGAATAAACAATAAGTGACTTGAGGCAAAAGAAGATACAGCAGGTAAGGCTCCAGGTGGCTATGGCTTAAAGGTCATGATCTTCCCACCTCCACCTACCTAGGCACAAATTCCAAGCACCTCGTCGTGGGAGATGGGCCTCCATCTGCGCACACCTCTCACCTGCTGCTCTCACCCTGCCTTCAGCACTGCCCCCCACCCTACTCTGTTGGTCTTCCACCACGCCCTCCTCTCTTGAGCCTCTGGGCCATCATGCTGTGATTCTTCCTGGAACCCACCTGATTGGCAGCTACTTACTATTCAAGATTCCAATCTACTGTCACACACACTAGGGTGATATCCTCTCTCTCTGCCTTTATAGGGTTTCTCTCCGTCTAGGCACCTATGAGTTACCTTGTGATGATCTCTTTACTTGTCTGTGTCCTAGAATACGAGATTCCCAGGACGGGGACCAAGTCCCTTACGTGTGTATCTCCCGGGCCAGGCACAGTGAGCACCTGACTGGAAAGCTTTTCCTTTTCTTCTAGAGGGCAAGGAGAAGGGGTATTATCCCTTGACGCTGTTAAAACTATCATTGATGTCCCCACTGAGGGCAGAGAGGGGTTTGCAAACAGGAGCTATTACTGTCAGGCTCCATAGAGCTCGCTCACTGTGCTGGAGAGGGTGCAGGCAAGGGATACAGGGCTCCTGGCGTGACGGTACCCAAGAACTTGCCCTTTACATGACGTGCACATACTGCCCAGGGGACGCTCATTCAATTCACTCTGCACTCCGTCCATGCAGCGGGGAGGTGGGGTCACGGACGGTCGACTTGGGAGACTTCAGAGTTCTTGGAAACGTGGGTTAGGAGGATGCTCCCTGGCAGGGCCATGCTGCGGAGGTCCAGAAGGGCCACAAGAGCGCCCAAGGCTTCTCCTCACTCTGGATGGCCAGCCCTCCCCAGCTGTGTGTGAAGGTTCCCCGCGGCATATTCAGTTCGATGGTGAGCTGAAATTCATTGCTGGCATCTTTCTTTTTTATCACGTTAGTCCCTTGGGCAAAAGATGCAGGGTCTTTGTTGACAGAAAGAACAGAAAGTCTCACATTCACAAAGGGGACCAGATTTAGACTTTAAGGTTACCTTCCAGTGAGGTCATGCAAACAGTCACAGACAAGCACAGTGGAGATGAAGAAAGAAGCCATTCATTGTATGACATTAGCCACTGCCAGATCACATGCTCTGAAGCGCACCGTGAACTAGAACTTCTCATAAATCCTACAGCCATTTTGCAAACAGCACAATTATTTTGAATTTGTGTGTGTGTGTCAAGTGTGTTGGCTGGTTAAATGTAAACAATGCTTATAACCGTTTGTTTGGCATGTGCTTAGCTTTTAATATACTCAGAACCAAGTCTCTAGAACTTCAAGAAGATCTTGCCAATCTGGAATTATTCACAAGTTCAATAGACAATGGACATTGGATCTATTTCATCGGAAGGAAAGATGTGATGTGCTTATTACTCACCAAATGAAGTTTTGCCCAGAACTCAGGTCCTTCCTCCATCTGTCTGAGGCTCGGTGGAATGTACCAAAAGCAAATATTGGCATATTCAGGCTGAAGAGGAAGAAAGTTTGAAAGCTGTTAATTAATCTTAGAATGCAGTTCAACTCTCAGCTAGTTTCTCCGAGTCATCATATGTGTCTTACGTTGGTAACATCAGAATCTGATTTAGACATCCATCCTGCCTTACTTTTGGTAACAGTTTAGTGGGAAATTTTCTTCTCCACTGGTGTATCCAGAGAGTGCTATTTCCTCTGGGTATGGGGTGAGCACAAGATCAAGAATAAACACAATGAAGTTAGAAGCTGACCCAGCGCAGCTCTAACTAAGCATTAGTTACAATGCCTGACACGCAGACACCCAGAGGTGCCCTCATTTGCCCCTCTTTAATCCTGATGGTTAAGTTATCACCCACATCTCCTTCCAACAACTGCTTCTCTACTTAAGGTAGCCAAAGTTGTCTTCTATTACCTGCTATACTTGACAAATGCAAAATCACCAATTACCTGTGAGTTGATAACACATGACATACTCGGGCTTCACTTAACCAGCCTTGCTGTGACCCTGATCGATACCGCATCAGAAGAAGAAAAACAAAAAGAGCATCACCTTGACTCCTGACTCTCAAGGATCAGTATCGGGAAGGGTGTAAGTCCACTCGAACCTTGCTCACAGTGCACTTCAGCCCCTGGGCTCAGAACCCCCAGATTGCACTTCAGTCCATCACAGAAATGGCTGAAGAGCTGGCATTTTCAGAAGCCTTTCAGGAGACTTCAGTGGTGGTTCAGTGGTTAAGAATCCACTTTCCAGTGCAGGGAACATGGGTTCGATCCATGGTCAGAGAGATCCCACATGCCTTAGAGCAACTAAGCCCGAGCGCTGCAACTACTGGGCCCACGCACCACAACGGAAGATCCCACGTGCCTCAACTAAGACCCGATGCAGCCGAATAAATAGATTAGCTAATAAATTAACTTTTAAGAAGAAGCATCTCAGGTGATCTCAAGTGAGCTGTACATGATCTATGTTTGAGAACTTTTGGTCTAAAGTGGCCCAGTTATTTTCTCTGGTAATCTGGTTTTCTACCAGATATGCTTTGGTTAAATGTGGAATAAGGTCTCACAATAGGCTTCAGGCAGCTGTTTTCACACAGACATAAACACAGGGCCTGCTAGGGGCAATCACAGACTTATACTCCATGACCAGGTGATAACAGACATTAACTTGGGGGTTGACAATTCAGATACACCAAGTTGTACTCAGAAAAGACCACGGGTCATGCCCACCTACCTGGCACCTTCCTCATCTGATTCTTCATGCTGATAGTTTTGGAAATGACTTCCATTTTCCCACCACAAACACAGTTTGTAGGTAATAACCAGTGTCAGCATAAAGTTTCAGAGTATTTCAGAGAGAGAGGAAACGGCTATCGTCTCATCTCCTAAAATCAAAACTGGTACTATAGAGTTTGGATTTTAGTGGATTTTAAATTACAAGTGATAGCCCAGAAACATTCCCAGCTCAACAAGATAAGCTCTTGATCTGATCATCCTTTCACCCTTGAAGTCTGTAACGGGTTTATTGAATTTGACCAAAAAAAAGTCAAAAGATTTAAAAAAAAAAAAAAAAGGAGCTACAAATCTTCAAAACAGAGAGTAGCTCAAAATGGAGTACTTTGTAATTCTAGTCAATTTCCAGAAATATTTATCATGAGACTATAACAGTCTTTACAAATCTATACGATTTATACTTGGTTTTCTAATTTATGATTAATTTGGTTTTTCTAGACTAGAATGTCCTGGCCTTCAAATTATTTAATCATCTAATGTGAACAAATCTGTTGTTGAATAAATAAAGTCACTATGGTTGATTAGAAAGTAGAAAAAATGGAGTTATTATCTGTCACTAGATTCTAGGAATTTGTGTCTTTATCTAAATGAAGGATTTTTTTTCCAGATACCATTTATGTCAGTTATCAATTTATTGCCTCTCAGCTCCAAATCCACCCTCTCTGTATGTCCTGCAATAATGGAGGTGGACACTATACATATTTCTCCTTGCCGTCTGGTCCGATCAGAGACTTCATCAGCAGAGGGTGCTGGAGGGGCATGGAGAAGGAAGAGATGCCTCCTCCTGGTCTCCTGGCTCATCCCACGGGGGCTCCTGCAGTGTGGGGCTCTAGCCAGCAGTTTTGGTGACCAGCACCAAGGGGCCCCAACAGCTTCCCCCAGCACCGCACCCTGGGGTGGCTTTACCACGGCCTGGCCGCAGGTGGGCGCCCATAATGGTTTTCTCTTGCACACCCTCCACCAAGGATTTCATAGGGAAGGCTGCCAGCTAGGCGAACTTGCCTTGGATGGCTTGAGTGAGTCCAAGATTCAGCAGTGCCCTGAAACCAGTGTCCTGCTCTCCAGCACTCCAGCTGCTGGATTCCTAGAGACCCCACCGGCCTGACACCTTAGGGGGTGTGCCTGCCATCCTGTGCGTCACACACACCCTTTCCAACAAAGTCTGGATCTCAGATCTGGGTGGGGGCGGCTTCTTGTCTGATGCTCCAGCTCAGTTCTAGAAGTGACGGCTGTTCTCTGCATCATCTGCTATTTCTGTATTTTTTAAGGCCTTTTTCTCTCTTATGAGGCCATCTCCCATGACTCCAATCCCCTGTTAATAATTCTTTTTTTATGGAACTCTTCACAAATCTACACATCATCCTTGTACTGGGACCATGCTAATCTTTTCTGTATCACTCCAGTTGTAATATATGTGCTGTTAAAGCAAGCATGATAATTCTTTTTTTTTTTTTTTTTAATTTATTTACTTGGCTACACTGGGTCTTAGCAGGTTCTGATCTAGTTTCCAGACCAGGGATCCAACCCAGGCCCACTGCATTGCGACTGCAGAGTTTTAGCCACTGGACCACCAGGGAAGTCCCGAGCACTATAATTCTTTACATTTCATGTTCCCACTTCAAATTATTGTGCAGTTTTTGTCTTCTTACTAGACCCTAATACATCATTAAATTAGCCATTCTCTTTCATTTGCAGGGCAACATTATGCATCATTTTGCCATAGCTTCTATCTGATTCCCTGGTGGTTTAGATGGTAAAGAATCTGCCTGGAATGCAGGAGACCTGGGTTCGATACCTGGGTCAGGAAGATCCCCTGGAGAAGGGAATGGCACCCACTCCAGTATTCTTGCCTGGAGAGTTCCATGGACAGAGGAGCCTGGTGGGCTACAAATCCATGGGGTCGTAGACACAACTGAGTGACTAATACATTATTAAATTAGCCATTCTCTTTTATTTGTATGGCAATACTGTGAATCATTTTGCAATCATTTCTATCTGCTATCACATCTGCTCAATATTTTATAATTTGGGACTTATGCCTTTTGAATCACGTTTTAAACTTTCTTCCTTCAATCAGTTTTCAGTTTAGATACTTCAGACGTAACAAATCTGTGATCTCTTTGAGAATGGTGTGGCTTCAGTACTATGACATTTGAAAACTGGTGAGGCCTTTTTGACATTTCATTTCATTTCATTGGAGGAAATCTGATGTGCCATTTGGTGGAATACCTTTAAGATAATCATTCCTCAAATTATTTCACCTTGAAAAAAATAAGTCTTTTTAAAAATAAACAATAAACCTTGAATATTCACAAAGAATGTTCATATTGAGTTTTCCTGTCTCTTTGCTTATGTAGCTTTTATTTCATATAGACTTTCTTCAAGTGCCTTCAAAGTGCTAAACTGTATTTTCAGAGTAGAATTATTCACATGCCACTTAATTGCCTACATATATGAAAGCTGACCTCTTGGGTGTCTTAGGACCACATTTAGTCCATATTGTCTAACATCATAACATTGAGAAGGCATAAGAAGGAATCCAAGTGTCAAGACCAGGCAGGTGATGGAAAAATGGCACAAAAAGTCTATAGTAGTAAAAATGTTGTCATCATTTAAAAAAATTCATTAAGACGTAAAGATGTGTCACAAAAGAAAAGATGGGTTCATTCTACTCTGATTTTCACAGAGAAAGAAAGGAGGTATATTCCAAAAAATAAAGCCAGTGCTTTGATGTCAATTCCAGCAAGGATTACTGAGCAAATAATATGAAACTCTTGGGGGAAAAAAGGTCAATGGTCACCAAGCTGTAGTGGCTCATATTCTCTCAAACTGAGTTTTGTCAAAAGAAATTCTTCTCCCTTTCTGCAATATCATTAGGTTTTAATAAGTATAAATGTAGAATCTAGCACATAGACTGAAATGATCAATCATGCAAATATAGAATGGACAAGGGGGTCATGATGGATTTTATTTGACTTCAAGCTCACAAATTTTAAGTAACTGATTACACTACTGAAAAATTCCAAAGACAGCACTTGGTAGCACAAAGAGCCTGCGTTTTTGGAGTCACATGGATACAGTATGAATCCCAACTTCACCAGATCTTTGCTTGGACAGGTATCTGTCCAAGTTCTCTAAGCTTTAGCTTCCTAATCTATCAAATGGAGATTGCATTGTCTACCCCACAGAATTGGCTTGATGAGTAAAGGGATTATTTCCAATATTTACCATCGTATATGGCACACAGAAGGCACTCTCCTACGTCCTGACTCTTATCTGGAACTGTACTGGTAGGAAATAAGTCTTCTTCAAGTGGATGAACAGCACCATTAAAATCTCTACCAGGTGAGACACATCATTGTGCTAATTTCTACCCATATATTAGAAGGGGACCATGAAAAAATTATAGCTTGTCAGAAGAAGGGCAACCTAAATGTTCGATTTAATAAGAAACACAGAATAGAACTCAAAATTTTTATATGTTCTAGATATAAAATGTAGAAAAAAATGACTTACTCTTAATGCTTATCTCCAGGAACTCAGACAACAGTAATAAAGCTATTAAAGATACGGTGATCAAACTGCAATGGGATGAGCATTTTAAAGAATTCATTTGAATCAGTTCTAATGAGATGGATGAAACTGGAGCCCATTATACAGAGTAAAGTAAGCCAGGAAGAAAAACACCAATACAGTATACTAACG